AAATCTCTATCTGAGGATTAGGCCAGGATGATGACTCACGGAACCATTTTCCGATTTCTCATACAAAAGTGATGAAGATATCTCACTAAATAGTAAACAAGAATTGTTTGCAACTGATGAACTCTACGGCAATTAGATGATTGCCTAGAAGCTGTCTCAACTAGACTCTGATGATCTATTTAGCATCGTTAACCTCGTCCGTGGCCACCACCTCGTAAAACTCCATCCAAGTGATTGAAATTGATAGAGGAGTTGTCCTCATTGTCAGAGTTTTCTGATTTGCGCTTGGCAACATGGTTGCGAAGTTTGCAAGTGGTTGTACGAGTATCGTCGATCTCGTTTTCTCCGTCATTGTCGACGAGAGGAAGAATGGGTTTGTCACGCAACTGTTTCTCGAAGTTGCGGAACGCATGCTTTCCTTGAGCCATCTTCATGGTGAAGGAATAGGTTGAGGGTAGCTGAAAGCTATTGTGTTTGTTAACAAAATGCACTACGCTAAAAGCTAGTGTAAAGATCTTTCGAGTGTTTTGAGTTTGAGAGAATGAAAGTTATGAGAGAGATTAGAAAGCTATGAAAACTAATCAACGAGAGAGATCATCATCAAAGGATCGTAGATCTGGCTTCCCGCGGGAGACTATAAAGTGTGATAGAGTACTAGGTTGTGGTAGTGATCCTACGTCTCTCTACGATCCTAAAACGGAACGCGTGGAAGGTTTGTCTAGCCTGGATCTAGTAGCGTGGAAGTACTCCACGCTGGCTAAATATCTAGAGCGATGTTTCATCATCAACCTAGTATGACTAGCGCGGTCATTGAGAACCCTGTCTCAAATGACTATTCACGAGAGACTCGGTCATGAGTCGAACTCAAACCCTATCTAGGATCGAGTCGCGAATAAGGCTAAGAGCCGTGTATTGCATCAATAATAGAGCACTCACAATCCGTCCACAAAGCAAAAGTAACAACACCACGCCACCACCATGGTGAGCACTCGCTCCAGAGTCAAGTTCACTTCTGTAGCTGGTCAATCTCGGTTGTCTCAACTTGCCGCGATAGAAGAAGGTGTTGCCATGGGAGATGAAACTCTAATTGAACCAGTAGAGCAAGAAGAAGGCCAAGAGCAAGAGCAAGAAGTAGTCTCTTTGGGAAATGACGACGCCGATGAACAACAAGAAGAAATTGGAAATGGATACGCTCCGCTGCCAGATCAACTCACTCGACATTCTTCTCAATCGCAATCTCCATCGCAATACAACCCAGGCGACTCAGACTCGTCTGTCACAGATGACGAAGGTGTACCAACTGCAGAAGAGTTTCTCACCATGTCACTTGCTGGCGAAGACATGAACACCAATGAAGTCACGGCGACTCAAATGGCTGGTGCAGGTCTTTTGTTGGGTTTCGCGGCGAATGACACGAATGACACGACCAATGACATGACCAATCCCAAAGAAGATAGAGCACTCCGACGTCGACAAGAAGCACAGCAAAAGAAAGATGCAAATCACGACCAAATGCGACAGAGCATTGTCACGTCGAATGTTGCCAATCGAGTTCATCGGGACATTGCCTTTGGCGAAGACACGGAACCTCCCAGTGCATTTGTCATCCCTGCAGCTCCTGTGCGACCACAGCAGTCTCATCCGCCACAACAGCCACGCACACCACAACAAGAGCCAATCCCGCTAGCACCGCCAGCACCAGTGCACGTTGTTCCACATGCCAATCCTTACAACCAAGGACGCATTGGAAAAAGGAACTGGAAGATGGATCCTCCGCCTCGGCCAGTAGCAGACACAGTAGGTGCACCATCTGTCGCGGCTCAAGTTCTTGAACTCCACAAAGAGCACGGATATGAGGGCATGTCTCAACAGGAACAGGATCTGATTCAGAACACCAAACGCGGAAAGAACACGGCAGAGACCGAGAGACGCAAAGTCGCCAATGAGAAAAGGTTCTTCGAAGTGCTGAAAGATCATGGTGGTCCAGCGTTTGCTCCTCTTCTTCTGAAGGTGCCGGTGAAATATGCTGGATACAGTACTGTCCCGGAGAAAATTGACTATGAGTTCTTCAATGCATGTGGATATACTCGCGAAGAGGATGCAAGACAGGTTGTCAACAAGGCTTCCATTGTATTTGCATTGTCCGTTCGGAAGAAGAAAGGCCGCGATGGTACCGCCGGTCAACCTTTTGAACCCAACACTTTGGAACAGTTCTTCCGCAATGTGTACTGCTACTGGAAGGCCAAAGGCATTTGGTTCGACTTTGACAAAGACTTCAATGGTCCCGGTGAACTCAACGGAGTTGTGCAAGAATACTGGGCCTCCAACTTGAAGAAAGACAAGAAGTATGCCTCGAACAAGGAGAAACGTCGCATCAAAGAGAATGTCTTGCATCTCGTTTGCCAAGCAGTTGACAAAGGTCTCATCAACATCAATGACCGTTGGGATCTCTTGCGTGGTGCGCACTTCAATTGTGGACTTTTCATGTGCTTCCGCGGCAAGAAAGATCACATAGCGACTCGAAAAGACTACATCCGTAGAGGAGTGTATCAGGATGATTTTGAAGATGACCTTGAGAAAGGTATCGCTGGGAAAGTATGGGTTGGAATGTACTGCCCGTGGAACAAGACCAATCCTTTGAAGTTCGGCAACACCACTCTTCCTCCCGAAACAGAAAGGATTCAGACAATGCGAGACTACCTTGGAGAACTGTCGTACAATCCGGTCGCTTGGTTTGATAAGTATGAGATGCACTTGCATCCGGATGCGGTTGGATATTATGCGTACCCGTACACCAAGGAAGAATCAGCCATCGAGAATGCCCGTTTGAAGCAACGTGACATCGATTGGAATCGCGAACATCCAGAATCACCTCGTGTCATCCAGGAATATGACGTCTGGTACAAGCCGTCCAATCCCAATATCAAATTCCATGAAGGAAATGTAGGGCACAACAAACACTGCACCTTCATTCAAGAATTCTGCAAGCAGATTGGAGTTCAGGATGCCGAGAAAGTTGCTTCCGGTCACGCACTTCGGGCCAAAGCATGCACCGTCTTGAAAGGTCAAGGCGTAGATCCACATGCGGTTGCACGACAGATGCGTCACAAGAGCATTGATACGCAAAAGCATTACACGGAGACCACCTTGGGAATGAGAGCTTCGGTAATGAATGGTCTTGTTGCCGGTGTCAAGCGTCGTAACCCGATTGAAGAAGATGGCCGCAAACCGGCTGCACGTCCGCGTGTTGGATTGGAATCGGATATCGAAAATGTCACTCCGCATGTCCAAAAGCATCGTCCTTCTGCATTGAATACGCAGGAACGTGAGGAACTTCAACAATTGCGACTACAGAACGATCCGGATTGGTTGGAACTTGAACGTCTACGTCGTTTGCGAAATGCTCCAGTCGCAGCGGCCGGTGGTCATCATCATGATCCTCGTTGTGTCATTCCAATGGGTCCTTCTCCACCACCAGTGAGACCTCCGGTACCACCAATGAGACCTCCGGCTCAATATGCACCGATGTACGACGAGTTTTGTGGAATGCCGCCTCCACGTCGACCATCATATTCGGATTCGTATGCGATGCGGCCTCCCTCGGTTTATGACAACCGTGGATTCAACCCGCCCCATTGCAATACACGGCTCTTAGCCTTATTCGCGACTCGATCCTAGATAGGGTTTGAGTTTGACTCATGACTGAGTCTCTCGTGAATAGTCATTGAGACAGGGTTCTCAATGACCGCACTAGTCATACTAGGTTGATGATGAAACATCGCTCTAGATATTTAGCCAGCGTGGAGTACTTCCACGCCACTAGATAAATGCTAGACGAATCTTCCACGCGTTCCGTTTTTGGATCGTGGAGTGAGTAGGATTGCCACCGCAACCTACTCTATCACACTTTACAGTCTCCCGCGGGAGTTCAGATCTACGATCCTTTGATTGTAGATCTCTCTCGTTGATTAGTTCATAGCTTTCTAATCCCCATAACTCATTCTCTCAACTCAAACACTCGAAAGTTCTTTACCTAGCTTTTATCGTAGTGATTTTGTTAACAAACACATAGCTTTCAGCTACCCTCAACCTATCCTCACCATGAAGATTGCCAAAAACGCATACACCAGCTTCGAGTCAAGCTGCGTGACAAACCAATCCTTCCTCTCATCGACCTCGATGTTGAATGCGAAATCGACGATTCTGGCTCTATCCACCTACAAACTTCGCACTTATCCAGCAGATGCTAAC